GTTATTAATGTTTCAATTGAACTAAAATCTATCTAAATTGATGTATAAACATATAGCAAACATCTGAAACTATGTGATTATTTAACTGGATTGAGCCTAGGGTTTATACAAAAACCAAATTAAAAAAAACCGGTTTTTGAATCTCAACTTTTCTATAAAAAAAACCGGTTTTTACAACTTATTTTCTATTGCTGGCATAAATCAATTAGACATACATAATATACGAAAATGGAAAACCAAATAATTCGTTCTTCTCTTTGTACCTTTTTAATTCACATCTTCAGGTTCTTGTTTATTTTACACCGTTTTTTCATCTTCAATTTAATAATTTTGATACAATCTTGATAATGTCTTGTCCAAAAACTTGATGAAGCTAATGAAAGAAATAAGCTAAACGTGTTTGTTTAATCTTTCTGTGGATTTAGTAAATTAACTATAAAACTAAAACCTTACAACTAATTTCAGTTTTCATTTTTCTTTCAATTCACGTAACATACACGATTTTGTGTTAGTTTTTACATTTTAAGTCTAGGCTAACTAATGAAATTACTGCGGATATTCCAACTCCGGCACAAAGCAAATGAAAATTCAAAACTTACATAACTTTGCTGCACGTAAGAATCAACTAAATATACATTTCATAACTTTCATTACAACTTTTTTTACGTATAATTATAATTCAAAGACAATTAAACAGTTATAATTGAAATAATTAGATAAAAATTTAGTTACACATACTTGATTTGTACGATTTTCATAAAGTTTTAAAATTTCATTTAAACATAAAAACAAAGAATACAATTTTCTTATAAAACTAATGTTAAAAAATTACAGTTATTAATGTTTCAATTGAACTAAAATCTATCTAAATTGATGTATAAACATCTAGCAAACAACAGAAACTATGTGATTATTTAACTGGATTGAGTTTATACAAAAACCAAATTAATAAAACCGGTTTTCGAATCTCAACTTTTCTATAAAAAAAAAACCGGTTTTTACAACTTATTTTCTATTGCTGGCATAAATCTATTAGACATACATAATATACGAAAATGGAAAACCAAAATTATTATAAAACCAAATAATTCGTTCTTCTCTTTGTACCTTTTAAATTCACATCTTCAGGTTCTTGTTTGTTTTTCATCTTCATTACTTTTTCATCTTCTATTTAATAATTTGGATACAATCTTGACAATATCTTGTCCAAAAACTTGATGAAAAAACTAGTGAAAGAAATAAGCTAGACGTGTTTGTCTAATCTTTCTGTGGATTTAGTAAATTAACTATAAAACTAAAACCTTACAACTAATTTCAGTTTTCATTTTCAATTTCTTTCAATTCACGTAACATACACGATTTTGTGTTAATTTTTACATTTTAAGTCTAGGCTAACTAAAAAAAAACCCGATTTTCGAATTACATAAATTTCGTCTAAAATCCGGGATTTAAAAACCCATAAAATATTACGATTTAAAAGCTGCGCGATCGATGGAACCTCGCCAAAATGTGTGTGCATTATTGCGATCGATTAAGAGAGTTTATGGGATGGAAGAAACTCGCTCAGTCGCTCAGTTTTCCCTTCGTTCTATTTGCGATCAATTATGAAATCTATTATTAATACGTGAGGGAATGCAGAGATCTTGAGACGATTGCTTGCGACGCGAAACGTAAGTGCTTTCCGGCACGTTCGACAATGTTCAACAACAGTTCAGTTTATGATCATCACCGAAACGTGATTCTCAATCGCAAATTTCAATTTAGTAAATTTTTTGCGTTTATTTAAGTCTGATTATAAATCTTTAAAACATAATCATTTACAAGTTTATATAAAGTTTATTACGTTTATTATTAATGATCATAGCTACCTTTGAGAGTAATTAACTATTAGTACAGGCGTTTCGTAATGTTAAGAAGGTGTAAGAGAGAAAGAGGGAGAGATGAAGAAGAAAAAAGTATGTAGATTAATCAAAGGAGTTTAAAAATAGAAGATTTTTGAGCGCGCGTGCTTTGATCAGGTTATTAAGAAACAAAATATTATATGTATAAAGTATATGAAGATCGAAAGGCGCGAAATGTATGTATTTGGTTGCATAAACAGGCAGGGCGATATTGATTGATGGAGGTTCGGTAGGATTCTCAGTTTAACCGACGGTCGGCGCGTCGAAAGATTAACTGGGGGGGAAAAATAAAAATGAGTCCAGAAATAGAGAGAGAGAGAACTTTAAGAAGTTTTCACAACTTTAATATCATCATCATCATCATCGTTGTATTGAATAGAGAAACAAAATCTATTTCTTTCTTTTTCTTTTCTATCTATTTGCAGATCCACTAACCCATACACACACACGACTAACCCGCTTTCAAAGAGAAAAAAAACTAAAAGAAAACATCTTTGGCTGTATTGATTTTGGAGGAGAAGGAGGAGGATGAGGATGGTCGGCGATGGTTCTGAATGTCGGTGAATGTTCCGGTTATGTGAAGGAGGAACGGAGGTGTGAAGAAGTGCGCCCTGCATGAACACACATACACACACTCACTCAAACTCACACTGAATAACTACACTTGAATACGGACGAGCACTCACGCACATAAAGACACGAGCACAAACACCCATGATGCAGGGCGCATGATGTACCCCATGGTGCAGCGGGACCAGCAACAACCTCAAGAACCTGAGCCAAGACAGTCGCAGTCGCAGCCTCGACATCAGCAGGAGGCGGCGGCTTGTCTTCAGCATCAGCATCAGCAACAGCAGAAGAATCAACAGCAGCAGCAGGACGACCCGGAGAGCCAGGAGGACCCAGATGCTCCGAAGACGAGGGTCAAAAGACCTCTATTCCGGAGGGTCTACAACTACGTGAGGGAGGCCTGGACCGGCGTCAAATCCGCTTTAGGTAATACACTACTCTCTCTCTCTCTCTCTCTCTCCCTCTCTCGGCACACATACACACACAATTACAGAGCCCCCTTCTCTTTTTATAACCGTAATCTATATAGTATAGATGGACGCATAGTTATGAGAAAACTTCAGTCATGCCTCCTCATTCGATCCGTCGGGCGCGTCTCCACCATGAGGCGCTTCTACATAATCGGTATAAAGACTTTCAACAGAAAGAAAATAAAATCGAAATACGCACACGCTTCGCAATAATAAATAACTAAATCATTCACGTGATGCAACATTAAGCCATCATCATCATCCTACATCCGCAAGGTACGCAACGCGCTAACCGTTTTGGGCGAAATTTAGTGCTCCTCCTCCGCAAAGTTTGTTTGTCTTTCGCTGGACCGTAAATAAATAGCTTCGGAAGGGCCATAAAATCGTTGCGCGCCAATTAAATATTTACACTTTTTCTTCTCTCTCTCTCTATGTAGGCGAGTCACTTAACGCGAAATTGGGAAACGCTAAACGACTAAATAAATAACATACCTCTAAATTTAGCATTTACAGCATTAACAACAATACTCTACGTCCCAATACGCATTTTCCAATCTTGCTTTCATAAGAAATTCACTGTATAGAGTTCTTTCTTCTTAATCTTAATCCAAACGCATTTCCACTTGTAACTACATTTTCTTAATCGTAACAGTTTCCTGCTTAAAATCATCAATTTTCTAATCATTTCCACTTCTAACTACAATTTCTTAATCGCAACATTTTCCTGCTTAAAATCATCAATTTTCTAATCATTTCCACTTGTAACTACAATTTCTTAATCGTAACATTTTCTTGCTTAAAATAATCAATTTTCTAAACGCATTTCCACTTGTAACTACAATTTCTTAATCGCAACAGTTTCCTGCTTAAAATCATCAATTTTCCAAACGCATTTCCACTTGGAACTACAATTTCTTAATCGTAACATTTTCCTGCTTAAAATCATCAATTTTCCAAAAACATTTCCACTTGTAACTACATTTTCTTAATCGCAACATTTCCCTGCTTAAAATCATCAATTTTCCAAACATTTCCACTTGTAACTACAATTTCTTAATCGCAACATTTTCCTGCTTAAAATCATCAATTTTCCAAAAACATTTCCACTTGTAACTACAATTTCTTAATTGCAACAGTTTCCTAATTAAAATCATCAATTATCCAAACGCATTTCCACAATATTTCCTGTATTTTAATTTTATTTCATTTCAATATAGTTTATTATTAATTTAGAATTAATATTTGAGAAATAGTTTATGTTTTTAGTAGACTAGAAGAAAATATGTTAGCTAAAGTAACTTTACGACTAATATGGAATTATAAGGAAGACTAAAGCTTTTTCTTCCTTCCTAATTATAAAAACTATAAATTTTCTTAATAACAATAGTTTTCTGTTTCAACTAATTTCATAGTTTTCAATTTCAATTCACAATCAATTGCTTTTTACATAAATTTATCATTATTTGTATATAGAAATATATAATTTCCTAAAAAAATATAAGCAAAAGTAATTAAGTTTCTTTTAATTATAAAATTGCACTTAATAATCTTTAAAATTCGATTCTTTTCTGCTCTTCTCCAATTATTTACAAATCGAAATTTAGTTACAAAACTTTCAATAATGTAATATCAAATTATTAATTATCAGTTTTTTTTTCAATATTTGCTTATATTTTTTGCTCTTCTGAAATCAATTAACAACAATAACAACATTTGTTTTGTATAATTTTTAACAATTATTAAGTTTTTAATTACATTTATACATTTATTACATTTTTTTTAGTAATCAATGAGAAATTAATTTGCTTTTATAATTAAAAGTTTTTGAAACAAACCAAACTAAAAATATGTTTATTTTAATTCCAATATGATAAGATAATTCTGTTATTGCTATTTGCTACAACTATTGAGTATTTTCAAAAATAATTCATGAAGATTTTCATAGAAATTGAATTAATTTATTTAAATAAACAGATGGAATTTCTCAAAGTTAAAAGTAAATTAATTTAATACAAATTACCTTTATTTTTCGTTTTTTTGCATGAAATATGTTTATTATATATGCATTAAGCTATATACGAAAATCTAAAATTCTAATTGAAATGTTTCGCTTTCAAAATTGTTTGTCTGCATAAATATTTACTCTAACTCTGTTTATATTTCTCTCTTATTTCTCTCTTATTTTTTTTTGTATCTTTATCATTCGCTCTTCCCCCTTGTGACTTATTTATGCGTTCGAAAATTTCCATGCAGATGTTTTCGTTGCTCGCGACGAAGAAAATTTAATATTTCACGAATGGAGACGAAGAAGCATATTTAGTCGTCTATTTGCTTAATAAAAATCGCGGCGAGACTTCCTTTTCCTTCATCCTTCCTTCCTCCCTTCCACAGGAACTATAAACATCTTATTGGAATTCCCTATTACATTTTTATGCAACTCCTCGACGATATTTGCATAGCAGATTGCTTTTTCCTAGACGAACACCAACATCTAACCGATTTCTGCACACATCCACATTTTCACTGCTTTTTTGATGAATTACATAGTTTCAAACAAGAAATCATACTAATTAATCTACATTATTAAATCGTAACTCAATTAATCATTTTACTTAAATTATTCCAAAAAGTACTAAGATTTTTAGCTTCTTATAAAACTTTATTCTTTCTAGAAACAAAATTACAAATTTTGTTCCAATTTATGACTAAAAACAAACAACTAAAAATCTGAATTATGATGGAATTATATAATTTTATCAAAACTACACCCAAATTTCATAAAAAGTTTACAAATTTATTACAAATCTTCTATTATTCGAAAAAAATGACTAAGATTTTTAGCTTCTTATCAAATTTCATTATTTTTGCAAACAAAGTTACAATTTTTGTTCCAATTTATGGCTAAAAACAAATATTTACCTGAAATTATGATGGAATTATATAATTTTACCAAAAATACACCTAATTTTCATCAAAACTTTACAAATTCATTACAAATCTTCTGATATTCTAAAAAATTACTAAGGTTTTTAGCTTTCTATCAAACTTCATTCTTTCTACAAACAAAATTACAATTTTTGTTCCAATTTAAGACTAAAAACAAACATTTACGTGAATTATGATGAAATTATATAATTCTACCAAAAAATACACCTAAATTTCATTAAAAGTTTACAAATTTATTACAAATCTTCCAAACATTTACTAAGATTTTTCTGTTATTTCAAAAAAAAAATGCTCAAATTTTTAGCTTTTTATGAAACTTTATTATTTCAAACTAGAATTAATCTACAAACAACATTACAATTTTTGTTCCAATTTATGATTAGAAACAAACATTTACAATTTTACTTTCAATTTAATACTAGAAACAAACATTTACCTGAATTATGATGGAATTATATAATTTTAACAAAAGTACACCTAAATTTCATCAAAAGTTTACAAATGTATAACAAATCTTCTGTTATTACAAAAATTTACTAAGATTTATAGCTTTTTATCAAACTTTATTATTTCTACAAACAACATTACAATTTATGACTAGAAACAAACATTTACCTAAATTATGATGGACTTATATAATTCTACTAAAACTACACATAAATTTCATCTAAAGTTTACAAATTTATTACAAATCTTCTGTTATTCCAAAAAAACTAAGATTTTTAGCTTCTTATTAAACTTAATTCTTTCTACAAACAACAATACAATTTTTGTTCCAATTTAAGACTAAAACCAAACATTTATCTGAATTATATAATTTTACCAAAAATACACTTAACATTCATCAAAACTTTACAAATTCATTACAAATCTTCTGTAATTTTTCAACGTTCAAATGATTTTTTTTTATTATTTTCATATTACAAAACTGTGATTAATAATTGTGCCGTGGGACGTACGAAGCTGCTGCCGTCGCCGCCGTTGTTGTAATTCTGTACCGTGGATTTAGTTACGCAACACGCGTGGAATTGTTTCAGGAAAGTTAATAAACGCGACGGCTGTAAATCCTTTTCACCTCCTTCCTACCAACCAACTCCCCTTTTTCCAGCCTCAGGCACCGAAGGTTCTTGTTATTTTCTTTATATATATATATACAAACGCGGTGGCCATAAATTACGCAAGTTGCGAGCCGAGGGATTCGTTTTAATTATGATAAACTCGAGACGGCGACTCCGGAATTTCGATTCCATCAAATATTAAATTACGACAATTTTCGCTTCTTTTTTTTTATCAGCAACAAGATTTGTGTGTTGATGTAAGAATTTGCAAGGAATTAATGTTTGATTTGACTTTAAAAAGTGTATTTTTTTTTTGATCTAGTGCACGCTTCAATCAAATTAACTTTAGTATGCGCTTTTCATCATCATCATCATCGAGAATAAACGGAATTTGTTGAATATTCAACGGATGATAATAGCATTGAAATGTTGTGTGTTTCGCAACTAAAACTTCATGAGCATACACACGGTTGGTGTTGGAAAAGGTCCTCTTTCCAACAATCCATCCATCTGGGGGCTTCGGTTTTAATTAAAATGATGGAATGCCGCCTCTATTAGAGAGACCCGTTCATTTAGCTAAAAGCGTCCGTAATCACATTATTATTGCTAGACGACTCGACTCGTCGTGTGAGTGAGTGCACCACCGTTTTTAGGTGGTAAAGAATCGATCATCGTCGCCATCAAATGGAACGGATGGAGAGAATTCATGCTTCTTCATCTTGTATGTTTCTTTCGTAGATTCCGAGCTCGAAGATTTGGAGACTCCACCGAGGTACAGGCCCGACAGTTTGGAGTCTCTCTGCAGGGCGACGAGATTCACTCAGGCGGAGATCAAGAGGATCTACAGGGGGTTCAAGGCCGAGTGTCCAACAGGTGTGGTCAAGGAGGAAACCTTCAAGATGATTTACGCTCAGTTCTTCCCACAAGGCGGTAAGTCAACAAAAAAAAATAAACATTACGTGCGTGTGCACTTCACTTACGCATCTATCATTTCTGAATTGTTATTGAAAATCTTTGCAAATGATTACCAACACTTTCCTAACAAAATAATTTCTTAAGTTCTTAGGAATAGTTTCTGCAAAATATGAACTATCTCAACTAAATAAAACGAGAAATAAGTCGAAACATTACGTAACTATTGTTATATCAGTAGATTACTCAATTGTGACAGCCTATACCAAAAGAACAGCATATAACACAAATTTGACAGTATACTCATTTGAAAGGTTATAGTTTTAGCTTTAATCTATATCATGAATGATTTAATTATCGTAATTAGTTATAGAATAATTAAGTAAATAGTGAAGGCCTGTTTTTTTAATCTATCATTTCTGAATTTGTTTTGAAGATCTTTGCAAATGATTAACAATACTTAATTTCCAACCAAAATAATTTATAAAGTTCTTCGGAATAGTTTCTGCAAAAAGAATGAACATTCTCAACTAAATAAACCAAGAAATAAGTCGAAAAAATCATTATACCAACATCAGCATTACGTAACTATTATTATATCAGTAAATTACTAAATTTTGGTAGCCTATAACGAAAGAACAGCGCATAGCACAAATTTGATAGTACACTCGTTTAAAAGGCTAGAGTTTTAGCTTTAAGCAATATCTTGAATGATCTAATTATCTTAATTAGTTATGGAATAATTAAGTAAATAGTGAAGACATGTTTTTTTTAATCTATCATTTCAGTTTTTTTTCTAGAAAATCTTTGCCAATGATTACCAACACTTAATTTCCAAGGAAAATAATTTCTTAAGTGCTTTGAAATAGTTAATGTACAAAATGAACATTCTCAACAAAATTAAGCGAGAAATAAGTCGAAAAAATCATTATACCAACACCAACATTACGTAACTACTGTTATATCAGTAGATTACTCAATTTTGACAGCCTATAATAAAAGAATAGAGCATAGCACAAATTTGACACTATAATCGTTTCAAAGACTATAGTTTTAGCTTTAATCTATATCTTGAATGATCTAATTATCGTAATTAGTTATAGAATAATTAAGTAAATTGTCAAGACATGTTTTTTTTACTCCATCATTTCTGAATTTTTCTAGAAAATCTTTGAGAATGATTACCAACACTTAATTTCCAAGCAAAATAATTTCTTAAGTGCTTAGGAATAGTTTCTGTGAAAGATGAACATTCTCAACTAAATAAAACGAGAAATTACGTAACTATTTTTATATCAGTAGATTACTCAATTTTGACAGCCTATAACAAAAGAACAGCGCATAGCACAAATTTGATAGTATACTCGTTTCAAAGACTACAGTTTTAGCTTTAATCGGTATCTTAAATGATCTAATTATCGTAATTAGTTATGGAATAATTAAGTAAATAGTAAAAACATGTTTTTTTTAATCTATCATTTCTGTTTTTTTTTTCTAGAAAATCTTTGCCAATGATTACCAACACTTAATTTCCAAGGAAAATAATTTCTTACGTAACTATTGTAATATCAGTAGATTACGCAATTTTGAGAGCCTATAACAAAATAACAGAGCATTGCACAAATTTGACTGTATACTTTATTTCAAAGGCTATACTCGTTTCAAAGGCTATAGTTTTAGCTTTAATCTATGTATTAAATGATCTAATTGTCGTAATTAGTAATAGAATAATTAAGTAAATAGTGAAGATATGTTTTTTCTTTGTCTATCACTTCTAATCTACTGACTCAATTTTGACAGCCTATAACAAAAGAACAGCGCATAGCACAAATTTGACTATACACTCGTTTGAAAGGCTATAGTTTTAGCTTTAATCTATGTCTTGAATGATCTAATTATCGTAATTAGTTATAGAATAATTAAGTAAACAGTGAAGACATGTTTTTTTTACTCCATCATTTCTGAATTTTTCTAGAAAATCTTTGCCAATGATTACCAACATTTAATTTCTAAGCAAAATAAATTCTTAAGTGCTTAGAAATAGTTTCTACAATAGATGAACATTCTCAACTAAATAAAGCGTGAAATAAATCGAAAAAAAATCACTTTACTACCAACATTACGTAACTATTTTTATATCAGTAGATTACTCAATTTTGACAGCCTATAACAAGAGAACAGCGCGTTGTACAAATTTGACTATATAATCGTTTCAAAGGCTATAGTTTTAGATTAAATCTATATCTTGAATGATCTAATTATCGTAATTAGTTATAGAATAATTCAGTAAATAGTGAAGACATGTTTTTTCTTTATCTATCACTTCTTAATGTTTATTACAAATCTTTGCAAATGATTACCAACACTTACTTTCCAACCAAAATAATTTTTTAAGTGCTTATAAATAGTTTCTACAGTAGATGAACATTCTCAACTAAATAAAGCGTGAAATAAATCGAAAAAAATCACTTTACTACCAACATTACGTAACTATTTTTATATCAGTAGATTACTCAATTTTGACAGCCAATAACAAAAGAACAGCGCGTACCACAACTTTAACTCTATACTCGTTTTAAAGGCTATAGTTTTAGCTTTAATCTACATCTTGAATGATCTAATTATCCTAATTAGTTATGGAATAATTAAGTAAATAGTGAAGACATGTTTTTTTTTAATTTATCATTTCTGTTTTTTCTTGAAAATCTTTGCAAATAATTACAAACACTTAATTTCCAAGCAAACTAATTTCTTAGGTGCTTAGAAATTTCTTCTGCAAAAGATGAACATTCTCAAGAAAATAAAACCAGAAAAATTACGTAACTATTTTTATATCAGTTGATTGCTCAATTTTGACAGCGTATAACAAAAGAATAGCTTATTTGACAGTATACTCGTTTGAAAGGTTATAGTTTTAGCTTTAATCTATATCTTTAATATTCTAATTATCGTAATTAGTTATTTAATATAATTAAAGAAATAGTGATGACATGTTTTCTCGAAAAAATATTATCGAAAAATCGAAAAGTTTGATATAGAAAAGGATTACATTAACATTTTCGTCTGAATTAATCTGTTAATAATGGCAAACTTTCTACATTAACTTAAAAAAACTCAATGAGCAAACAAAACACACGAAGTCTTTGAAGATGTGCGTTTCATTGCACCGCTATTTTTGCCAGAGAGAATGGGTCTCCAGATTTGCGTTTGATCTCGTCTCTGCGCTAAAACAGAAATGTTATTTTATTCGGACATCCTCCTTTGATGTGCCTCCCAATTCAATATTTACACAGATTCACGAAAATTAAGAGCAAAAAGACAGAGAGAAAACCTTTTTGGTCCTATTAAGAACCTGAGGTGTATACGTCTCTGTGTGTGTGTATAAGTTCGCACGACGAGCAAAGAGTTATACAACAAAAAAATAACTAAATGTAAAAGAGTGTCGCTCGACCCTTTAGCTTCGAGGGACATGACTTTTTAATCAGCAAAAAAGTACACTCTATGCTCACTGAAATCACTTCTTTTTTTAAACCTTTTTGTCCCCTTTTGTTTGCTCAATCTTCAAGAGAATTAAAACACTTCGTTTATTTCTGTTTTTAGTAGCAAAAATTGCTCTTTTTTGATTCAACAATTTTACTACTTCTTAACAATACGTTTGCAAGTTTATTATTAGTTTCATAATAAATGAAATCTATTCTTTCTGTAAACTAATTCAATTTCGTAACTTTCTCTTGCACAACTGAGATAATTTAATCTATTCACTGAAAATTTCCTTTTTCTTTCTGTCAGAGAATCAAAAACCTGTAATCCAATCGCTGAAATCCTTTTTCTAAACTTTTCATTCTTTTTCTGTTTTTCGCCGTCCTGCGGGAAAAAAAAATAGAATTGGAAAGCAATTTTTCGTCGATCGGATTGGATTATTTCGTATTCGGGGTGGAAAAGTTTTCTGTCCTTGCAAAAAGAAACAAATAAAAGAAAATATAAAACAACAGGAGAAAGAACTGTATATCCTGGAATTCATACAAAACGTCGGACATCGATCCTCCTGATCCCTCCTTTGAAGCATCCAAAGAAGAGTTATACGAGTAAATAAACTCTGCTTTTTTTCTCTACTTTTCTTTTCTCTTCTCTTTTTCATTCGGTCCAGTTTCCAAAGACACACACACGAACAAAACTCAGAATCCGAACGGTCAATAGATGCTTCCACTTTCATCTCTTCATATAAGTCCATAAGATCACATCGGATGTAAAATATTATTTGAATGAAATATAAACTTTGTTGTTATATGAATACTCAAACATTACAATTTGGATTACAAAACTATTAAACTTTAATCGTAATTCAATCCAGTGTTTAGCGAACAATTAAACAATCAAAGTATATTTATATTTCAAATTCAATGTAAATCAATTAGTTTCGTTCAATATTCGATCCGATTTAGCGAAAGGATTAAGTATTGAAAGCGAGTACAAAACGCAGCGGATTATTCGACGTTGAGGGTTCAACTGCAATAAAACCTAATTTTCGTGAATACAGATGGCGTACTAATTTATGCAAAAACCGCTCGAATCGATAATGTCCAAGCGCGACAGATTTCCAAAATATTGGATTATTTTATTGCAAATAAATAACACAATTTTTACTGGTTATTATCGGTGCGTCGAATGTTTGTCGGAGAGATGAAGAGGTGTTTGCGCAGAGAGTGTGTATGTTTATGATGAAATTATGTTTTTAACATAATTTCATTTTTATTGAAAGTACTTATACGAAAAGATTTGCAATATAAAACTGCTTAGTTTGTAGTAATAAAATATGTAATAAGTTTTATAATTTTTGATATATTATGAAATAATAAATAATTCAAATAGTGATTTATTGACACTGCTTTTTCGTATTTTTTTTTAAATGCGAATTACAGCCAAACGGCTGAAACCACAGTAATATATGAATACTTGCTAGATTCCCCAAATATTCAGCATTCATATCCATCTTTTGGATTCATTCTATCTATTATAGT